ATATAGCAAGGAAACACCATTTTCTTTTTATTTTCTTAAAGCATATTATGAAACCTATCTTTTCATATTTTGTTTCAAAATTCTATCTCATTGATTTCTTTTTATTCACAAAAAAGTGTTTTTTCATAAATAATAATTTTGCACAACTTGTAGCATGAAAAATAGCGGAATGACCCATATTTTAGCTCACCTGGCCGAAAGACTAAGTGAGCTTTTCTCATCACTTGGCGTCAGTTGTCCGTCTTCCGCCTCTGTCGTTGTTGTCATGTTGTTGTCTATTAACTTTTACAACAATCTTCTCCTCTTAAACTACTGGGCCAAATTTAACCAAACTTGGCCACAATCATTATGAGGATATCTAGCTTAAAAAATGTGCCGATGACCCTGGTTGTCAACCAAGATGGCCAAAAATAGAACATAGGGATATAATGCAAGTTTTGCCTATTATTTCAAAAACGGCTATAAACATGATAAATAGAGAAAATCTGAAAGAGGCAAAAATGCTCAGAATGTTGAACTCTGCCTATTATCCATTTGAGTCAAAACTATTTGGCAACATCTTATAGGAGTTATAGCCCGAAAATGCGAATTTTTTCCATTTTTAAATAGTTTGTGCCTTTTATCTTTGAAAATTATAATAGATAGGTAGAAACTTTAAAAATCAAAAATGATCAGCAAGACTAGATCTACAAATAAGTCAACATAACTGAAATTGTCATTCGACTCCTTATTGAATTTATTGTTCTTTAATGACAATTTTACCTATTTTTTTCCATTTTTTTGCTTATTATCTTTAAACCTGTAATAGATAGATAGAAACATTGAAAAGCACAAATGATCAGCTAGACAAGATCTACAGATGTACCATAATGGCCGAAATTTTCAGTCCACTCGTTATTTGAGTTATTGCCCTTAAATGATAACATTTTTATGCATTTTTTGCTTATTATCTTGAAAACTTTGATAGAAAAATAGAAACTTTAATGAGAAAGTATGAACAGCAGGATAAGATCTACAAACAATTTGTCAACATGACTGAAATTGTCAGTTAACTCTTAATCAAGTTATTCCCATTTTATGATTTTTATTAAAAAGTGGCCATTGTTGAAGATGCAGGTGATTGACACAGGCTCTTTAGAGCCTCTAGTTAGGTCACCTCATCCGTCATTGTCATCTGTTAACTTTTACAAAAATCTTTTCCTCTATTACTACTGGTCCAAATTTAACCAAACTTAGCCACAATTATTATTGGGATAAAATATAGGAAAAATGATAAGCAAGATTAGATCTACAGATAAGTCAGCATGGCTGAAATCATCAGATGACTCCTTGTAAGAGCCAACACGTATAGATCTTGAAATAAGTCAACATGACAGAATTCGTCAATTGACTCCTTATTGAAGTTATTTCCCTTTAATGAAGATTTTCCCCATTTTTTGGCAAATTTGTTTATTATTTTGAAAATTATAATAGATCATGTAGATGGATTGAAACTTTACATAGCAAAAATGATCAGCAAGACAATATCTACAAATAAGCCATCATACCTGAAATCTTAAGTCAACTTATTGTTGGAGTTTTTGCCTATTATCCTGAAAAGTGTAATAGATACAAATGAAGGAAGAAACTTAAAAAAGCAAAAATGATCAGGAGGACAAGTTCTACAAATATCTCAACATGACAGAAATTGTCAGCTAGCTATTTATAGAGTTATTGCCCTTTCCTGATGATTTTTACTGGGGAAAAAACCAATTGTCATAGAGTCAGGTGAGCACATAGCTCTAGTTTATTATATTTTTGGAAAAAGGCATGGTAAAAATCTGCATTTAAAGCAAAGTATAAGAAATTTCTATCTGAGGAAACTATACTGTTGATTGTCTTGAATATATGTAAACTTAGTAATAGGTTATTTATCAATGAACATAGGTTTTTTTAAGATTTGACACCTTGTTAATTGTCATTGAACATAGGTTTTTTTTTCAGATTTGACACCTTGTTAATTGTCATTGAACATAGGTTTTTTTTCAGATTTGACACCTTGTTAATTGTCATTGAACATAGGTTTTTTTTCAGATTTGACACCTTGTTAATTGTCATATGCATTGAATATAGGTTTTTTTCAGATTTGACACCTTGTTGTCATTGAACATAGGTTTTTTTCAGATTTGACACCTTGTTGTCGTTGAACATAGGTTTTTTTTCCGATTAGACACCTTGTTGTCATTGAAAAAAGGTTTTTTTCAGATTTGACATACTTTTTGTTTGTCATTATCGTATAAGGCAACTGTTGATTGGAAAGTAGATAATTTTCAGGTTATTAGTTGAATTTAACATGTGTTATTTGTTTTCCATGTCATATATATAGAGAATATCATATGACTTTTTCAATATCACATCCGTATCAACCCGAGACACCAATATAATCCCAAGAGCTCTGCTCGAGGGATTATATTGGTTTAGGGTTGATACGGTGTGTAATATTGAAAAAGCCATATCATATACACTTTATTTTATATATATATATATATATATACCTTATGTAGATGTTTTTTATGTGTCATGACGTCATACAGATTAGGGGTTTGATAAAGGCTTTGAAACAGTGACTGACATTGATGACGTAACATCATACAGATTAAAGGTGTGATAAAGCCTTTGCAACCGTGACTGATATCGATTTCATCACGGATAGCTGATACAGCACGATTACCGTTGACTGTATTACACATTCAATTTATCTGTATTTACTACTAAGTATATAATTATTATATTTATAATATATGTCTGAGCTGGGAAATCTTGTTAAAGAGACTATTCTTCTTATTTAGTATTTAAATTTTGTACATCATCAGAATTGAACATGATAAATTTAGATTAAAACACTTATGTACACATTGACAAAACTGTCAGGATAAAAATCCGTAATCATAATAGGATTAATATTTTAATGACTTTTAAAACAAAATTATTGAAAATAAATATGAACTTAGACAAGGATATTGCAAGATAAAATCATAAGAACCGAGTTCCATTCTGGATTGTAATTTGTAAGTTTAATTTTATAAATAAGTGCATGCTTGTCATATTGAATGGACATGAATTTCTTTTAAGAAAAAATCGAAAAAGATTTAACAATCTAATTTTTGAACTACATGTTTTTAAATATTGAAACATATTGAATATTTGGCAAAGACTTCATATTATATTTGACTCTTTTGTTTATAAATTCGGCATGTACAAATTTGAAAACAATACAGAATGTTGATAATGCTAACAAATTATACTCCTTCTTCTTTGTCATGTTTGTCTAAGAAAGGGAATTCTTGAAAATAGATGAATACAAAGAATACAAATTGCAGTAACTCAATAATTCACCTCTATGTCATATTTTCTCCTGAAGCCGTCGTAGACATGGTAGAGCAGTGGAATATAACAAGATGTGGATTCATTATTATACCTGTGAAACCATTTGCAATTTTCGTGGATTTCATGGATAAAGCTTTGTAAACAACACATTTGAGTGTTCAACCAAGTGAAAAATTTTTATCCAGATTTCTGCAAAACTATGAACTTGATGAACAAAAGGATGAAATTATGTTTCCACAAAAAAAAAAAAAAAAAAAAAAATTTTGTCAATCCACAAAAATTGATATCCACGAAAAATAAATGAATCCACATGTATTATTGTATGATGTTATATATTAATTTGTTTGTTCATGTATATTAGAAAACCATTTGCCCATATATATGCTTGAGTGTGTGGGTTTGAACCCTGGCCGGGTCACACCAAAGACTTGAAAATTAGTATTTGCTGTTTCTCTGCTAAACAGGCTTCATTAAGGAGTAAGGACAAAGACTGGTCGGCTTGGAGTGAGAATAATGTGTCCAAGTAGAGTGACATGTCTTCGTGTGGACAGTTACCTTGTGAGCTAGCACATTAAAAATCTGGCTCAGCGTGTTGGTCTATAAGGGTTCATATTCCTGTTATATTAATATGTTGATAAGCAGCAATTAATCCATCATCATCTTCATCATTTGTCCGTCCAACCCTTATTAATTTAGGATGAAACTTTGTTTAAGGTAGTTTATCATGTAATTATGGTTCCATCAACTTGAAACTTTGTACACTCAATGATCATTGTAATGTAAAATTTTTAAGATATATGCCAAATTAAGGGTTTGACCAAGATTTTGTGGTAAACGTTTTGATTTAAGTTAGGTTAAAGTATAGGTTTAAAGAAGTTTCTCATGAAGATGAGGTCACCTCAACATGTATCTTAGTATGCATGTTTATTATAAATCATTATATATAATTATGTGAACTTGAAAATAAAAGCTGAATTAGAGGTTTGGACACAGGTTTTGCTATTCACTGAACATAGAAATGTGATTGTGTTAGGGAGCATAATGTATTCTCTGAACTTACATTCTTTGTCAATGAATAATAAAGAAAAAGTAATAAAACCAGTATAACTTAATATTAAGAATTGCTAATTTGTGTGTGAATCTGCCAATTAGTTATCAATAATAGCTGTCAGCTAAGGGACAACAATTTTGTTGATTGAAACTGTGCTAAAATTTTTTTATTGATAACAGGTTAACTATTTGAAGCCAAGAAGAAACAAATCATCATGTTCCATATATGATAACTACTGTAAATTAGGAAATTATTGCAAAAAATGCGACAGTATTGTAATCGCAATAATTTAAACTCACATTTGGATTTTTTTATATGAATGAAGCAGGATTTTTTCTCAGTAACGCAAAAATTATAATCGCATTTTGGTCTTAAATGACAAAATCGGAATATTAAATGCATGCAATAATTTCTAAATTTAAAGTAATCATTGATTGTTGAAATTTTGAGTTTGATTGAACTTCAAAAATGGCCATAATTTGATAACAACATTGTAGTTAATGCAAACTTTGTAGAAAATCTTTGTTTTTTTTTCTCAATTTGCTGACAATTTACTAGTTCAAAGTTTGACTTTTGATTTCAGAACTTGAAGCTATAGCTTTATTAGAGAGTGAATCTGAGTCCTCAGGAGGAGAGATGTACACTGAAGAAGCAAACAAGAAACATTTCACTGTAGAGGAAGCCGTAGAAGCAGTTGGGTTTGGCTGGTTCCAGATCCGACTGTACTTCATGTGTGGTTTGTTTACTGTAAATATAACTGTTTATTACCATGGTTACAAATACTGTGGAGTTTGTAATATTAATTGGATAACAATTGTCATGGATTTGTAGGTAGGGGAAACCAAATTTTTTGACAAAATGAAACAATGAAAGGACAAGGTACGATAACATGGATAAGGCTCGTTTTTGGCCCCCCTATTTTCTCATTTTTTAAATTTTGTTTTGGAAAGCTACTTATCACGTTAAAATATTCCATTAGGTTTGAAGTTTGTTTGGATGAACTTCAAAACAATTAATTTCAGAAAATGGGTGAGTTGAGGGGGGTAAAAGGGCATCAAAAACGCCAAAAGAAGGAAAAAGTACGATTTTTGGCCATTGTTTCTTAAGATTTAATGGCGTGCGCCTACATGACCCGGAGAAAATTATGGCGATTGAGACATCAAAAACAATTCTCATGACTTTGGAATAAAAAAATTCCTGGGTCACGTTGGCGCAGGCACTAAAAAACTAAAAATTAGTTGTACGGAACACCTGCAAAGTGAATAATAATTACAATATTTGAGTAATAACAGAAAGTTTACCCCCCTCACCTCACCCAGTTGCTAAAATTAGTGGTTTTGAAGTTCATCCAAACAAACTTCAAATCTCAGGGAATATTTTAACATAATAAGTAGCTTTCCAAAACAGAATTTGAAAAATGAGAAAATAGGGGGCCAAAAACAGGCCTTATCGTACCTTGTCCTTTATAAGCAATCTTCTAAATACCAAAATTTTCCTCAACCTAGTTAATTTATACCACCAAAAATGGACTAAAAAATTGTCCTAAGTCAGGAGCCTGTTCAGTGATTGTCATTTGTTGGATCATAGGTGTTTCTCGTTTTTCATTTTTTATATAGATTAGACCGTTGGTTTTCCTGTTTGAATTGTTTTACACTAGTCATTTTTGGGGCCCTTTATAGCTTGTTGTTCGGTGTGAGCCAAGGCTTAATGTTGTAGGCCGTACTTTGACCTATAATTGTTAACTTTTTATACATTGTGACTTGGATGGAGAGTTGTCTCATTGGCACTCATACCACATCTTCTTATTTATATGATCCACAGTATTATGAGATATATTTGTACTTCAATAATACATAGCACCTAACCATGAAAATAACCCAAAGACATCTAGAGTGCAATCAACAGTCACAACAGTCTTTAACAATAGACACATGTCTTTACAATATGTCAAAATATCTACATTTCTGTCTCAATGATGCATTTCACATATTATTTAAATCTTATTACATAATATATTTTTTTAGTAAGTAATACATGTATTATCATTAATCTTGTGTTTTAAGTAAAATTACTATGTGATCCGTTCAACTGCACTGTTTGGAAACAAGCTGTTGTTGTATAATTGTTCTCAAGTTACATTTTTTACTAAATGTAAAGTAGGAGGTACCCTAGGGGCCAAATTTGGCCTTAAAATTGATGAATTATAAAATGAGGTAATTTTAACATAAAAATTGGTGATACATGTACTTTTGTTCTAAGTTTCAAATATATGGATTTTTAAATATTGTGAATATTTGTTGTAAATAAACGGTACAAAAAATTACAAAATTGCATATTTTTGAGTAGTGAATAATCAGCACATGTATGCAAGTACTGTGAATTCATTATAATTCGTTGAATACCAATTTTCGTGGATTTTGTGGGTACAAGTGAACCACGAATTTAAATGTTCAATGCATTGCAAATTTTCCATTGGCTTGTATGCAGACTTTGGCCAAACCACGAAATTAAATATCCACAAAAGTGTAAGTTTTCCTCAATCCACGAAAATTAGTATCCACGAAAATATAAAAGAATCCACAGTACCTGCTAAAATTTACATGAGAAGTGTTGTTCATATAAACAAAAGGGTTAATTCTTTATTTTAATGGTGCTCTATATATTTGGGACCAAAATCTAGTTGTAAATTGCGACCTTTACTTAATGATGATGTGACACCTACATTTATTTTGATGTCATGGAACTAAGATAATTGTTTTTTGATTTGCATTTCTTTAAAGATAACATTCATTTATTGAAATCTTAATTTAAAAGTTCAAATTTCAGTTAAGAAAAATTCAGAAAAAGGCTTTTATCGCACCCTGTCCTTTCCTTCATGTCCTTTCTTTCCTAATAAAAAAATTTAAAAAAAAGTTTGATTATTTGGCTTAGGCAAACTTATGTGTGTTAGAACTTTATCTAACAAGCGTTAAATAATATAATGAGATCTTTTTATCTTCTTTTTGTCTCGCCTTGACGGAGTCAAAAAGTGAGACATAGGTATGCTGTTTCCAGAGTCGGCGGCAACAATGTACAGATGTATTAGTTTGTGATTAGGTCCAGTTTATGGTGAACCACTAGTGGTAGGTCAATGATATTTGGTATGCAGTTGCATTAGCACATCTCATTACCATGGATAATATTTGGCCCTGCCCCCTCAGTCATGGTCTATTGACTTTGAAACTTTGCTTAGTTTTCATGTATTAGTTTGTGATTAGGTCAGTTTATGGGGAACCACTAGTGGTAGGTCAATGATATTTGGTATGCAGTTGTATAAGCATTATCAAATCTCATTTCCATGGAGAATATTTGGTCCTTACCCCTCAGTCATGGTCTATTGACTTTGAAACTTTTGCTTAGTTTACATGTATTAGTTTGTGATTAGGTCAGTTTAAGTTGAACCACTAATGTTAAGTCAATGATATTTGGTATGCAAAGTTTACAAGTTAATGTTTGTGTTTAGGTTTGTTTAAAGGGAACGACTTATGAAAAGTCAATGGTATTTGGTATGCAGTTGTATTAGCATAGGCACATCTCATTTCCATGGAGATTGTTTAGCCTTGTACCTTCAGTCATGGTTCATTGACTTTGAATATTTGTATAACTTACATGTTAAAGTATTGTTTTTTTAATTTCAACATTTGCATTATTAAAATAACAAATAGGCGAGACATATCTCTGTGTTAACAGTTTATTTACAAATGGTTTTTTTATCAATTCTGTCATCTTCACAACTAAATTCTTTTTGTTTTTTCATTAAGTTGAAACTTTCTTAAATTGTTATTCAATTAAATGTACAAACTTCACAGAGATAAAGTGCCTTATTGAAAGATAATGAATATATGACAATGCTGAGGCAACATAACACAATAAGATTGTTAATTTTGTTTAACATGGTAAAGTCATCCTGTTTGGATGGAATATTTTTTGAAAAGAAAGTAAATAGCAAGAAAAAACACTGATGGAAAAATGTGATCATTTTCATTTTTATTAAATTCCCATCGATCTTTAACGATAGGACGTATTATGGTACACGGTTGTCTGTCCATCTGTCCCTTGTCAACACTTCGGACAATAACTCAAAACCGCTTTCACCAATTTTCATGAATCTTTGGTGAATTGTTTATAACTATTGACATAAGCTCCCTTTTGACTTTTATAACTTTTAGATTTTACTTTTCCGAGTTATGGGAAATTATTTTCGTAAGAGAATTGGGGATTTTCCAGTTTTCTGACTGTATCTCAAAAATGCTTTTGACAATTTTCATGACACCTTGGTGAATTGTTTATATATATTGACATAAGTTCCCTTTTGATTTAAAAAAATTTCTGATTTTATGTTTAGGAGTATTGGGACTTTATTCATAAAAAAAGGGGTGATTTTCCAGTTTTCAGACAATAACTAAAAAACGCTTTGAGCAGTTTTCGTGAAACTTTGGTGACTTGTTTATATAAATTGAAGTAAGCTCCCTTTTGTTTTTTTATTAATTTCTGATATGACGTAAGGAGAGTTATGAAACTTTATTTGTTGAAAAGTCATGTATATATATGCCTTGATAGATATTGAAGATTCTTCATAACATTGTCATTGATGTTCAGCACCAGAAGGAGTGTTGTGAACAAGATAGAAATTAACATAAGCACTATGGGCATTTTAATAAAAAATTTAGGGGCCCAACCCAAATTTAAGTAGCATTGGCTACTGGGCCCCTGCTAATCTTTTTCCCTGTTGACTGCAGTTAAGTTGTTATATCATTACTTTATTAGGTATTAATTGTAAATTTTAAGTCACAGTTTCTTTGACTTTAACCATTGGCATTTTGTACAAATTTTGTTCTAACTTATTTTTTCTTTGCAGGCCGCAGATTCCTTAGAAATGATGTTACTGGCAGTTATATCTCCCGTGTTGAGATGTGAATGGGGATTAGAACATTTCCATGTTGCATTTATAACTACAGTGAGTAGCTGTTATTCTGAATAAAAGAAAATGTGGGGTATATTTCAATGAGACAGGAACCCAACAACAGTAAAACAAATAGTGATCACTGTAGATTAACATACTACTTAGATTACTGAGCCACCAAGGTACAAAGGAGACTGCACAATTAAAATGGAAACAGAAATAATGTACTTAACTCTATATAACTGGTATAAAAAGTAAAATAACAAAAATACTTAACTCCAAGGAAAATTCAAAACGGAAAGTCCTTTATCAAATGGCAAAATCAAAAGCTCAAAAAAATCAAACGAATGAAAACAACTGTTATTTTAGACAACAACAAAATTCAATTCAGTTAATTTGCATATTTTGACTATTTAAACAATATATATGCTGGTTATAACTTTCGAAGCTGTACATGTCTTTAAGCACAATGGAGATATGTTAAATCAAATACTTTTCATAGATGAATAAAATGAAGGTACATGTCAATCAGACAGCAACACAACAATACAAAAAACATAAAAATGAGAGAATAAACATTTATATAGAAATGCTATTGAAACAATTGGAAATGTTTTAGTAGATGTAGATTGACATTTATGACATTATATATCTTGATTGATAAAATATGTGTTGTGTAAATGCACTGATGGATCACTTTATATATATTTGTGATGACATATTATCATCCTATAATATATGGTTTCAATTTAAGGTTGTGTTTATTGGGATGTGTATCATGGCCCCGGTATGGGGTGCCATAGGGGACAGATATGGAAGGCAGACAGTAAGTAGTACAAGAATGGTCATAATACAAATGTATATACAGTATGTACTATGTATTTATCACGCATAGATATACTGTGATTTTTTATCTTCAAAATATATTTTTTCAATAAGTATTGTAAGAATTGTCATAATATATAGGTGTATTTACCATGCATATTTATATTGTGACTTTATTAATTTTAAGACATTTTTTGGCTTCAGCTCAAAGACAATTGTGGAAGCGAGTTTAGAAAGACTGTTTTTATACGCCCGTTTACGGGATGTAATATGGTATACCTCTGTCCGTCCGTCCGTCGTCAACATGTCAGACATTAACTCAAAAACGCTTTTGACCAATTTGCATGAAACTTGGTGAATTGTTTATATCTATTGACGTGAGCTCCCTTTCGTTTTTTTATAAATTTTTGATTTTATGTTTCCGAGTTATGGGGTTTTATTCATTAAAAAAAAGGGGGATTTTCCAGTTTTCAGACAATAACTCAAAAATGCTTTTACCAATTTGCAAGAAACTTTGGTGAATTGTTTATATTTATTGACATGAGCTCCCTTATGATTTTAATAAATGTTAGATTTTACATTTCCGAGTTATGGGGTTTTATTCATTATAAAAAGCGGGATTTTCCAGTTTTCGGACAATAACTCAAAAATGCTTTTACCAATTTGCAAGAAACTTTGGTGAATTGTTTATATCTATTGACATGTGCTCCCTTTCGGTTTTAATAAATTTTAGATTTTACTTTTCCGAGTTGTGGGGTTTTATTCATTAAAAAAAGCGGGATTTTCCAGTTTTTGGACAATAACTCAATAATGCTATCAGCAGTTCTCATGAAACTTTGGTGAATTGTTTATATCTATTGACGTAAGCTCCCTTTTGATTTTTATAGATTTTAGATTTTACATTATTTTTGACTATCAGCAAGAATTTTCTGGAGATTTTTCAAATATTGGGAACCGAGAAAAATATCAGGTTTCTTTTAAACCAAATTACTAGCTTTTTTACATTTAAAAAATAGTATTTTATCTATTTGAATGCTTTAAGGTCAATAATTTAACAAACTAAAAAAACTTGTTGTACAATTTCAATTTCATTTTGCTGGTGCAAGTATTTAAGTTGAATCCTATGATTAATGTTACAGCACAGCAATGGGTTTTGCCATCTGGGATGTCCACTCTGGGAGGTGACCACAGATCTAGAATAGGCAAAAACTCTACAAAACCCTCTTTGCACATAGGGAACAGGTAAAAAAGACAAATCTACATGAGATGTATATATGTTACTGATGCATTTTCTATTTGAGAGGAAAAAAATATTTATGTTTTTTTTCAGACGTTACATATGGTAACATTCTGGATAGGATATTATGGGTTTTTTTTCAGACGTTATATATGGTAACATAATATTCTGGATAGGATATTATGGTTTTTTTTCAAACTTTATACAAAGTAACATTTTGGATTGAATATTATTGGGTTTTTTTCAGACATTATATATGGTAACATTCTGGATAGGATACTATGGACTGCTAACAACATTTAGTCCATCTTATTATTGGATCCTGTTTTTACGATGTCTTGTAGGTGGGGGTCTTGCAGGGTCACCTCAAAGGTAGGTGTGTCAAATTATTTCAAACTTCCAATGCCTGTTTGATGACTTGCATGCTTATGCACATAATGCTAGAATGACCCTGAAAACATTAGGGTTTCTCAAATGAACAGTTAGGAGTTATTGCAATTAATATGAAGATTTTTTTAGGTTGTCTTTTTCGTAATCCATGCAAAGATTAAATCATATATATTTTCACTTTACATTTATATGATTAATGTGTTATTTTTCAAATTATGTCCATAAAAAAAACAATTTATAAAAGAGTTCAATTATCAATATCTTGAATTTCCCATGTACAAAATCTGAATATGTGGTTTACAAAAGAATAATTGATATTTTTTTTAAGTTTTAGGGAAATTTGAATAGACAAGATGTTCTATTCAAAGCAAACATTATGAGGGCTTGTCCATTAAAATGAATGTGGGATGAAAGAAAACTAAGAGAAGCCTTATTTTTTGACAAAGGTCTAAGTTATTTATATTTGTATCTGTCCATTTTTATTAGCAAAATTACTCAAAAAAAAGTTGGTTGTATGGGAATTTTGGAAGTCCCACATGCATTTAAATGGAATAGCCAACCTCTGTAAATTTCTGAAACATTTAAAAAGATGTACATCTAAAAATACTACATCTAGTTGATCTCTTTTACATATCTAAAAATAGATTTTATGGTTTTCCCTACTAAGGAATATTTATACAGCAAATAGTTAGAAATTAATGGTTTGATTTATTTTTTTCAAAAATGAAAATATATATGACTGCCATTTTGTTAACTGTCTGTATATAATGATTCTTGAAAAACATTAAAAGATAGATTTGCAGTCACCAGTATTATAAATTGATTTTGCACATTAAAGCATTCTGTAGAACAAATTTCGTTTATGATTTTAGACGTTTGTTGATTGGCATTGTGCATGAAACTTTTTATTATATTTATTATAAAGAGATAATTCTTGTAGAAATATATTTATTTTGAAGTAGTATTTTATATAGTAGATTTGTGAAGCATCTTTGCTAGTATTTATTTTATAACTAAAACAAAAATATGTAAAGTTTACATAAATAAAATAATATAAGATAAAATGTAAGGCCTTCCCTATCAATGAAAAAAATGAGGTCATATTAAATCAATAAAAGTGAGCCAAGGGAAATCTAAATGCAAACTTCAGATATTTAATTCATTACAATCAAAACTTTGTTTCTATATATACATAACTTTCTTTGCAGTCAACCATATGCATAGGTATTGAGAAGACACTTTCAATAAAACGGAACAAAAAATTGCTAATACATTATATGAAGTACAAGTATAGCATGTATAGCCAGGAGCACATATATCTGTGTTGATAATCTTTAAAAATTTACTGGAACATTTGTGTTGTTGAAATGAAAGCTTAATAATATTTTCGCAACTTCTCTAAATCTTTGCATGAGTGATATATTCTGTTCTGTAAAAGTTTTTTTTATCAAGGATCCGGAGCCATGAACATTGTTCAAATTATTCCATTTACTCAGTAAGCTGATCTATCCCATATGTCTCTGAAAAAACAAAAAAAATGTCTGTCCTAAGATTTTAAATAGTTTTGTATGAAGAGTGGATCATCCAGGGCTGAAATTATATAACAGTTTAATTTCCGATATGTTGGCCACAGTTTGATTTTTAGCACAGCATTTGATTGGTTGAGCAACAGGAGTTCTTTTATATGCTCACCAAATATGGGTTGAAAAGGAATCAAATAAAGGTTAAAAATACACAAAAATACACAAAAATACACAGATGTATACATATTCAGCAGTTTGTTGTTTCTGCTTTAATTCTGAATATTGTGGATTTTTTTTATTTTCATGGATACCAATTTTTGTAGTTTGAGGAAAAAATGTAGTTCCATGGATATTTGATTTCATGATTAAGCTAATGTCTCCATACAGACTTATAGAAAATTTGTACTTTGTTGGAATTTAAATTCGTGGTTTAACTATAACCAAGAAATCCATGGAAATTGGTATCACATCAATAATAATGAATTCACAATCTTCAGTATTCCTTAAATCACTAAATATGTCCCAGTTGCACTAATTTCTAATCATTAGCTTAGAGTTTGAATTTAATCTTGTTACAGCTAGGCTACTACAACTGACCTTGACTTTTACCTTACAGCTTTGCCTTGATGGCCGAATACTTACCAGCTAAATATAGAGCCAAGATGCTGATCCTTGGAAGTGTATGTTTGTTGCACCTTTCTATTCTGCTTGCTTGGTATCTTTATTCCAGGAAAGAAAAATGCTGGGAGAGTCTTTACTGCAAAATATTCATTAAATTATCGCAATATATACCCAAAGTGAATGTTGCTATCCCTATCTTAAAATTTGGCATTGGTTTTGGGAACAGTTGCTGTATCAAAATGACAGACTGTGATGATTGTGGGTCTTATTCATTTATTTGACCTAATTTTCAACGAAAATTGACCTTATTGTCACTTAAAATTGAACTTTTAATTTAAAATTTTCACAATTTTTGTCTCTCCTTGACGGAGTCAAAAAGCGAGACATAGGTATGCTGTTTCCGGCGACGGCATCAACAATGTATTAGTTTGTGATTAGGTATAGTTAATGGTGAACCACTAGTGGTAGGTCAATGATATTTGGTATGCAGTTGTATTAGCATTGGCATATCTCATTACCACGGAGATTATTTGGCCCTGCCCCCTCAGTCATGCTCTATTGACTTTGAAACTTTTGCTTAGTTTTCATGTATTAGTTTGTGATAAGGTCAGTTTAAAGGGAAGCATTTGTGGTAGGTCAATGATAATTGGTATGCAGTGGAATAAGCATTAGCACATCTCATTTCCATTGAGAATATTTGGTCCTTACCCCTCAGTCATGATCTATTGACTGAAACTTTTGCTTAGTTTCCATGTATAAGTTTGAGATTAGGTCAGTTTAAGATGAACCACTAATGTTAAGTCAATGATATTTGATATGCAAATGTATTTGCATTTGCAAGTTTCATTTCCATGTAGATTATATAACCCCACACCCTCATTATGGTTCATTGACTTTGAAATTTTTACATAGTTTACAAGTTAATGTTTGTGTTTAGGTTTGTTTAAAGGGAACAACTTATGAAAAGTCAATGGTATTTGGTATGCAGTTGTATTAGCATTGACACATCTCATTTCCATGGAGATTGTTTAGCCCTGTACCTTCAGTCATGGTTCATTGACTTTGAATATTTGCATAACTAACATGTTACAGTATTGCTATTTTAATTTCAATGTTTGCATTATCAAAATAACAAATAGGCGAGACATCTCTGTGTTAACAGTTTATTTTGTAAATGTCTAAAGTTTGAATAAGGCTTTTGATTTTTGTCTCGCCTTGACAGAGTCAAAAAGCGAGACATAGGTATGCTGTTTCCAGCGTCAGCGGCGGCATCAACAATGTATTAGTTTGTGATTAGGTCAGTTTATGGGGAACCACTAGTGGTGGGTCAATGATATTTGGTATGCAGTTGTATAAGCATTGGCACATCTCATTTCCATGGAGATTATTTGGCTCCGCCCCCTTAGTCATGGTCTATTGACTTTGAAAATTTTGCTTAGTTAACATGTATTAGTTTGTGATTAGGTCAGTTCAAGGGTAGTTCGAGATTACTCTGACGTCCAACGGCTGTTTTGCCAGACAAGCTGGGGCCGTGGGACGTCAGAGCTTGTCCCATATCAAAAAGCGGGTATCAATTTGTTCATTTTTCATTTATTTCTTCATTTATGTAAGTTTCACCTACCTGCCACCCTTTATTTTCTCATATTTAGATAGTTTTCACAGTGACCCATCGATTCAGACATTTTTACTTTTATTTTCAAATGGACGTCAAGTTACGAGAGATTTTGCGACCTCGAGACTCAAATATGCAAATATTTATACTTTTTTCACCTCCTTTATAGGAGATCTGTATTTAACATTTAGTAGCCAACCACATTTTTCACCTCCTTTACAGGAGATCGGTATTAAGCATTTAGTGCCAACCACGATAACATTCGGAAGATCTCGGATATTTACATTGCTTGCATCGTAAATGAGCGAGGTGTTAGATTATATATTCATATTGACCTAGGGTCATATGCATACATCATTTCCCATAGTCCATTGTGCCTTACTTTTTTCTCGTGATCACATGACAATCTTTTAAAATGAAAGTCAAAATGCCAGAATCGATGGGTCACTGTGAAAACTGTCTAAATATGAGAAAATAAAGGGTGACAGGTAGGTGAAACTTACATAAATGAAGAGATAAATGAAAAATGAACAAATTGATACCCGATTTATATAATTCCAAGGCTGTCTGTTGGCACCAGAAGCGACGAAGCAGCGCATCTATTTTGGACGGGCAAATATCCACTTTTTGATATGGGACGAGCTCCGACGTCCCACGGCCCCAGCTTGTCTGGCAAAACAGCCGTTGGACGTCAGAGTAATCTCGGCCTAATTTCAATGGAGAATATTTGGCCCCACCCACCTCAGTCATGGTCTATTGACTTTGAAACTTTTGCTTACCGGTAGTTTTCATGTATTAGTTTGTAATAAGATCAGTTTCAGATGAACTGCTAATGTTAGGTCAATGATATTTGGTATGCAAATTTATTGGCATTTGCAAGTATCGTTTCCGTGGAGATTATATAGCCCCACCCCCTTTTCATGGTTCATTGACTATAAAATGTTTACATAGGTTACAAGTTAATGTTTGTGTTTTCGTTTTGTTTAAATTAAAGGGAACGACTTATAATAAGTCAATGATATTTGGTATGCAGTTGTTTTAGCATTGGCACATCTCATTTACATGAAGATTGTTTAGCCATGTACCTCAGTCATGGTTTATTGACTTTGAATATTTGCATAACTTATGTAACATGTCCCAATTCAAGGATTATTCTAGAAAACAATATATTTGTAACACAACACAGATCCTACAAATATTCAAAATGTAAAAATTATTTGAATAATATTATTGGTATCCAATGAAAACTGTGGATCACTGAGGAAACTCTTTTTGATTGTTGATTTTTTTTAAAAATAGAAAAAGTTAGGAATTGAAATATAAAGGAGAACATAGTCTGCTTGTTTCTTAGATCAGCAGTTTCTTTTTGTATGTCTTTACTTCTGTAAATTATTGAGCTCTTAACAGCAATTAAAGGTATGTTAATTTTTCCAGCACAAGTTTCACAAAGAAATTATTTGACATGGAATGTGTGTCACTAAATTTGAACTTCAGATCTAAGAGCTATGAACACTTGTAATTCTAAGTTGAGCCTAGAATACATGGTAATACAAATAAGAGCTTCCTGAAATTTGTTATCAGGCTTTATGTGAACATGCTTTGCAGTGTAATAGATTTAAAGATTCACTGATCTTTGGCTTCTTGTTTATTGAATACGTAAAGTGCAGGGGTATCATTTAGAAATCTCACAGTTCTAAATCATGTGACTCCTGTAGGGATATTAGAGTTAACAATTATCGACACTCCAAGTAAATCTTTCCTGGAATAACTCTTTAATAAAAAATATGTTGTTTTAGTTCTTTCTCAAATTAGGCCATTGAATGATATGAAATATTTTTCTCACATAGTACACCAATCGAGAAATGTGAAAAAAGCATGAAAATTAGAGAAACATGATGTTTTTATTACATTGGTGCATTTTGGTTTGTAAGTATCTTCAGCTTTCATTTTCATTTTAGAACTATCACCCAGTTTTCTTAGAATTGTTTTTAACAGCATATTTCAGGTGATAGATTTTGTGTATTTAATATAACTCTTATATTTGTGTGTGTTTTTTTTTATATATAACTTTATGATAAACGTTTATTTTAAAGGTATTAACATGTACATAATATTATATAAGAATTACAAAAATTGACACTTTTCCGGTTAATAATTGAGATATTTTGATTTATTGATACCTTTTTGATATTTTTCGGAATTTCATTTAATAGTTCTAATTTTCCTTTTCTTTTTATATTTTAGGTGCCGTGGGCCATTGGTACTATATTTGAAGTGACAGTAGCTGCGTTTACTATACCTACACTTGGATGGCGATGGCTACTGGTATTTTCTGCAGCACCTTCTTTTATCATGCTGCTTATTTTAAAGGTAGGGCAATTCTGAAAAGGCTCTATTCTACTTTCTTTTTAAAGATCTTTCGGAATCCTCTGGTTTTGTCAGATCCTTGTAAGCTTAGTCACAGGATCTGTATTTTAATTTTTCAAGCTTATAATTTTATCATTTTATAACCCCCACTCATTTATAAATGTTTTTAAAATGTCTGCACTCGAGTGTGGAATATGTGAGCTTGCTCACTAAAGGTTGTTTAATTACTTTCAGTTTTTACCAGAGTCTGCCAGGTATCTTGTAGCTGCAGGTGATAAAGATGGAGCAATCAAAATATTACAAAAAGCTGCCAAAGTAAACAAAGCCTCACTTCCAGAGGGTAATCTCGTCCAATCAAAAGTTGTAAGTAAAACAAGTCTAATTTTTTAATGGCAATCTCATCCAATTTATTAAAACAGTTATTAAGGTCAACCGCCCCCCCCCCCCCCCCCCCCCCCCTTTGTGGGAAAAATTTGGTTGATAATATAGGGAATCACTGAAGCATGACTGGAGCGGGCCCCCCTTATGAAAAGTTCTGGATCCGCCACTGTAGGTAAAGCTCCTACTCTACCTTGGAAAATAAAAAGCCATTAATTTTATTTCAGTCTTTCAAGGCATGGACAATGCTTTTGTATAATTTCCCAAAAATATCGAAGATCTAACATTCTGTAGCATGTTTTAAAATTTGAGTTATTTCCCTTTTGCAATTCTATGTCCATTTCAAAATTACTTGTATTAATATTGAAATAATTGTGAGCAATGGGAATTTTTATTTTTGGCTAACAGAGGTAGGGCACTTAAATTACTGATCATTTCCATGATTACTTAATTCTTTGTAGTGTGTAAGAAAGACAATTTCTAAAAGTTTGTTTTTTTCAAAACTTTTAATGTTTAACAGTCAAAAGTTACTGATTGATTCTTCCTTTATCTCTTCTGATACCATATATGAAATACATTAATGTATAATGTCCTTCAGAAATCCTTTAAACCCCCCCTCCAAACATGTCTACCTAACAGAAACATGTCCTCTAAATCACAAATTACCCAAATGTGTTTGATTATTTTCTTATCTTAAATGGATCTGAATTTTACCTCCTCTAAATGGGTCCTACAATTTCCATATGCCAAAAGGCATGAAAGGTGTCCCTATTAAAATACCTGATAGTCTCAAAACTTTTAAGCGCTCATTAGTCCTCTGTGAAGTCAGTAACTTCTATGGCAAATTCAATCATGTGGACATGGTTAAAGAAGTCTGGTGTCTGCTGCATTCCACAGGAAAAAAATCAAAACCACTATCCAAGGACATCACTGATATTTGTTGGACACAATTGCTTAACATTAAAAAAATTGCTGAGTAAAAAGAAGAAAATTCAAAAATGAAGACATAAAATTTTAAATTGCAGAGATGATCAGATTTCAAAGCTCTGAATTGAAGCCAATTTTAAATATACAACTGTTAAAATCTCGACATAATTTGTTTTCAAACAACATAAGTGATAAAAAATGGCTTCTTCATAAAGATGCACACTTAGGGGCATTTAAAATATGGACATAATTGGGCGGTCATGGAAAAGTCATGATTTTGCTTCTTACACCAGCTAGACATTTTTGGGCATACAAGTTTGGGGGATTGGACATGTTTGAGGGGAAGGACACGTTTCTTTATGTTGCATAAATGCTTGCTCACGGTATGAGCTTTTCCATAAAAACTTGTAGACCATGCGTTATGGGCTTTGCTCATTGTTGAAGGCCGAACAGTGACCTTTAGTCTTAATTTCTGTGTCATTTGGTCTATTGTGGAAAGTTGTCTCATTGGCAGTCATACCACATGTTCTTTTTATATATACATGGGACCCAGGGAAGGCAAATTAAAATATCCACTAAGGTTGTACCCATTTTTATACGACCGCAAAAAAATTTTTGTGGTCGTATATTGGTATGACGTTGGCGTCGTCGGCGTCGTCGTCGTCGTCCGGCGTCGTCGTCCGAATACGCATAAGTTTTCGCACTCTAACTTTAGTTTAAGTGAATGGATCTCTATGAAATTTTACCATAAGGTTCAATACCACAAAAGGAAGGTGGGGATTGATTTTGGGGGTTATGGTACCAACAGTTAAGGAATTAGGGGCCAAAAAGGGGCCAAAAATAAGCATTTTCTAGTTTCCAGATAATAACTGTGGAACGGTGTATGGATCTCTCTGAAATTATACTGCAAGTTTCCATACCACAAAGGGATGGTAAGGATTTGCTTTGGGGGGTTATGGCTCAAACCGTTTAAGAATTAGGGGCAAAAAAGGGGGAAAAACAAGGTTGTCCTGGTTAATGGACAAATACTTTAGTACAAAACATAATTTAAAGCAGTGTAAGGGAGATAAATCAAATTCATCATTGAAATTATCTCCCTTACACTGCTTTTAAATTATGTATAAAGTAATGGTTAATGAACAATTAAGATAATTTAAAACAGTGTAAGGGAGGTAATCCAAATACAACGTTTTGGTTACTTCCCTTACACTGCTTTTAAATTATGTTTAAAGAAATGCATATTTATAAAGGAAGACCAGTAAAAATATCTGCAAATGTTGCATCTTTTTTTTTTACAACAAAATCCATATGAAAGATTTGACACTATATTTTAAATTCTATTATAAAATAGATTAAGTTAGCACTATGGTAAATTTAAATGGGTAATTATAGTTGCAAACTCCATTGGAAATTTGAATTGAGATTATGACCATATCTTGAGGGAAAGAATTTTTTGGGGAAAAAAAGGGGGGGGGGTCAATTTTTTCTCATTTCAGATTTCAGAAATTAAAAAGAATTATTCTTCAAATATTATTTTTTTTTCAAATTTCAAATATTGAAAAATTTCAAGAAGTAATCTTTAATTGGACAGTATGCGCATTAGATTTGTAAAATCTTTGACCACATTTATTTATTTGTTATGCCGAATCTAACCGTGTATTTAGATTTTTAATTTTGGGTCCAGTTTTCAAATTGGTCTACATTAAGGTCCAAAGGGTCCAAAATTAAACTTTGCTTGATTTTAACAAAAATTGAATATATGGGGTTCTTTGATATGCTGAATCTAAACATGTATTTAGATTTTTGATTTTTGGCCCAGTTTTCAAGTTGGTCCAAATTGGGGTCCAAAATTAAACTTTGTTTGATTTCAACAAAAATTGAATATATGGGGTTCTTTGATATGCTGAATCTAACCATGTATTTAGATTTTTTATTTGTGGACCCCGCTATCAAATTGGTTCATATTGAGGTCAAAAGGGTCCAAAATTAAACTTTGTTTGATTTCAACAAAAATTGAATATATGGGGTTCTTTGATATGCTGAATCTCACCATGTATTTAGATTTTTGATTTTTGGGCCCCGTTATCAACTTTGTCCACATTGAGGTCAAAAGGGTCCAAAATTAAACTTAGTTTGATTTTAACAAAAATTGAATTCTTGGGGTTCTTTGATATGCTGAATCTAAAAATGTGTTTAGATTTTTGTTAATGGGTCCAGTTTTCAAGTTGGTCCAAGTTGGGGTCCAAAATTAAACTTTGTTTGATTTCAACAAAAATTGAATATATGGGGTTCTTTGATATGCTGAATCTAAACATGTATTTAGATTTTAGATTTTTGGCCCAGTTTTCATGAAAGTTGGTCCAAATTGGGGTCCAAAATTAAACTTTGTTTGATTTCAACAAAAATTGAATATATGGGGTTCTTTGATATGCTGAATCTAACCATGTATTTAGATTTTTTATTTGTGGACCCCGCTATCAAATTGGTTCATATTGAGGTCAAAAGGGTCCAAAATTAAGCTTTGTTTGATTTCAACAAAAATTGAATATATGGGGTTCTTTGATATGCTGAATCTAACCATGTATTTAGATTTTTGATATTTGGGCCCCGTTATCAACTTTGTCCACATTGAGGTCAAAAGGGTCCAAAATTAAACTTAGTTTGATTTTAACAAAAATTGAATTCTTGGGGTTCTTTGATATGCTGAATCTAAACATGTGTTTAGATTTTTGATAATGGGCACAGTTTTCAAGTTGGTCCAAGTTGGGGTCCAAAATTAAACTTTGTTTGATTTCAACAAAAATTGAATATATGGGGTTCTTTGATATGCTGAATCTAAACATGTATTTAGATTTTAGATTTTTGGCCCAGTTTTCAAGTTGGTCGAAATTGGGGTCCAAAATTAAACTTTGTTTGATTTCAACAAAAATTGAATATATGGGGTTCTTTGATATGCTGAATCTTACCATGCATTTAGATTTTTTATTTGTGGGCTGCTATCAAATTGGTTCATATTGAGGTCAAAAGGGTCCAAAATTAAACTTTGTTTGATTTCATCAAAAATTGAATTCTTGGGGTTCTTTGATATGCCAAATCTAACCGTGTTTTTAGATTTTTAATTTTGGGTCCCATTTTTAAATTGGTCTACATTAAGGTCCAAAGGGTCCAAAATTAAACTTAGTTTGATTTTAACATAAATTGAATTCTTGGGGTACTTTGATATGCTGAATCTAAACATGTGTTTAGATTTTTGTTTATGGGACCAGTTTTCAAGTTTGTCCAAGTTGGGGTCCAAAATTAAACTTTGTTTGATTTCACCAAAAATTGAATATATGGGGTTCTTTGATATGCTGAATCTAACCATGTATTTTGATTTTGGAAATTGGACCATAATAGGTAAATTAAAAAAAATTGAAGTTCTTAGACCACATTCTTTCTGTGTCAGAAACCTATGCTGTGTCAAATATTTAATCACAATCCAAATTCAGAGCTGTATCAAGCTTGAATGTTGTGTCCATACTTGCCCCAACTGTTCAGGGTTCGACCTCTGCGGTCGTATCAAGCTGCACCCAGCGAAGCATTTTATTTTAAAGTGCTAAATAATAAACTGGAGTTTATTTGCACTTTCAAAAAATATTCAATACCCAATGCCTTGTGCACCTCTTTTTTGATCAAAATGCTTTCTGGAAATGCCAAAGGATAACATGTGCTCTGAAATATCTGATAATTTAGGAGGAGAGGAGGGTTCAATTTTATTAGATCTGATCACAACATTTCAAGTTTTAATATAGTTTTTTCTTCTGCATAGGTACAAAGAGGAGAATTTAAAGATTTATTTTCAAGTAATTATGTAGGAACGACTGTAATGCTGTGGGTTTTATGGTTTGCCACGGCGTTCTCATACTATGGTATGGTGCTAGCAAGTACAGAAATACTACAAAAGAAAAAGACAGGTAATAATGTAAATTTGAATTGTGTTACACCAAAAACCATATATATGTTTTGATCAATTTTCATGTTTTGTCAGGTACAATTTAATTTCAATTTGATCAACAGATGAAAACCCCCCTTAAAATGTTTGAAATCTAGACTCAAAATCGTGGCATCTGGTGAATTCTATGACAAGATTTCATGCTTGTCAAATGGAAATATTATTAGCAGTACTTACTTTTTTCTAAAAATTATGTCTGCAATTATATATATATAATTATTAAGATTGAAGTTTTCAGGCCTTTATGGGTCTATTCGAACTGTCATGCAAATCAATTATGCCATTTATTCATTCGCAAATTAAACTTAACAAATCAGAACAAATTGAAAAACAAACTCATGCATGCAAACGTTATCAATATAATATTGTAAAAATGCACACCTTTGTGTTGCTTAGCGGGGAAAAAAATCTGTAATTGAACGTTTCATCACATGGCACGACTTTGTATATATACTCAATATCTCTCTGGATTTTCCTAAGAAATCTTGTTCGATGGATAACGGCCGAGTGTTCCCGATAGAAATACTAACCGGAACTCTCAAATTTAAATATAAACCAAGAACAATAATAATAATTGCGACTCTCAAAATAATCCAATAAGTAATATATGCACCCATATTTTATTTTGCTAAAAAAAACTGTTTAAAACGGTAAATTTGGCCGGTGGCCAGTTCTTATGGAAAACACTGAGATCATTTTTATTTTAAAGTTTTCTTTATTATATATGGTTTGGGGATATTCTGTTTTCATTTTCTTTGTCTGAAAATATAGTTCCTAGTGTGGATAGTGTTTTACATACATTTTTTTTTCCCATTCACCTTTCCAACTTAATTTCATGTTTTATGCATAGATTAACTAGAAAGGGGATTAATTCATTCAGCAAAAAGTTTTGATTCACAAATTTTATGACAAAATAGTGATTTGGTCGCAGGGCTTCCAAAACGGTGGTATTTTCCGGACAAGTCCGATAAGTTATATAAATGACTTCTTGTGTCAAGGCTAAAACAGACATCTTAATAACATAGTTCAGAAAAAAATTAAAGTTCATGCGATCTTTTCAGTATTTGACCTGACCTTTTGCCTTAAACAGCCACTCATTTCCGGTCATAAAAGTGACATGATGAATAATTACTATCAAAACAAACCCTACTTTAATATCCTCTCATTACAATCAAGGTTAATTAGTTCTCTGACAGCTGATTTTACCTGTTCAGGCGACAGGTAAACTATTTTGTACCAGACATTGATCGGTCTATTAAAAGTTATTTTATTACGTTTCAGCGGTTTGCATCTGATTAATTTAGTCAACAAGATTCAGATTACCAGAAAACGTATATAAATATTATTTGATGAAAATTTAAAAGGTAGTAATAAAGGTTTTAAGTGAAAAATCGTCAGAACCACGTTGTTTAAACTAGTACACATGTGCGAGATATGCATCCGATTTTTCAAAAATGCTAAAAATATCGTTGATACCTTTATCTAACGTTCATTTCGAGTATTTTTCTGTAGAAATAACGCGAAAAGAGCTACTTTAACTCAATCATGCTTTGTAAACGTACACAGATTTTACGTCTTTGGTCCGTGTTTTACCATTGTCAAGTCAACATTCGGTATGAGAAAAATGTACTTTCAAAAACGAAAGTGAAGTTACTGACAGCGTAATTTTGCACAAATAAAGAGTCTTAGGCAGATATTAGAACACTGATGTTGCACACTTCGAATGGTGCACTGTCAATTTAACAGTTAACACCAGAACATCGAATTTATATTAAAAAAAATCAAGTCAAGTACCGTTTTTGTGTCAATCATAATTTATATGATGCCCAACTGATTACTATGGTTGCCTTTTGTTACTAAGTCTTAAGGGATTAAAATCAGGATGAGACAAAAAAAAATGTCCAGCTGGCTCAAATATTTTTTGGAAGCCCTGTTTGGTCGAGTTGAAAAAAGGGATAAAATGTGTATGTTCAAAGCTGTCTAGCTGAATAAAAGACCCAGCTAATTAACCCTGTCAATACTAGCTTTGGATATTATTTTTTTCCCAAAAGTAAAAAACTACATGGCACTGTAAAAATCTTGTTTTGCTAATGCTTGTTGTAAATTTTAACTCACTTGGCCCACAGGGCCATATGAGCTTTCACCATCCTTCTTTACCTCATTGTCTTGAACATGCATGAAATATTTGTCACTGGACATTAGGCAAACAATAATCAATCAGTCATCCTTGACCTCATCATTACAATTAACTTTTACAAAAATCTTCTCTGCTGAAACCACTTGACCAATTTCAAGCAAATTTCAACTGAATAAACACAAGGGTATATTTTATAAAGTTGGCGTTTGTTTATCCTGCTAATAAACTAACATGGCCAGCATTGCTAAAAAAACATAATGGTAAAATGCATTTTATGGCTAATAACTTGAAAACCATAATAGATGGAGAAAATAAAACAGGGTTAATATGTCAAAATGTCATGACTTATCTCTCTAATCTCTTTATTCCGACCAAAATTATCAGATGACTCCTTATTGGAGTTGTTGTCCTTAAATGAAGATTTTTGACTAATTTTAAATGATTTTTTCCCTAGTGTCTTTAAGAAAACTGTACTTGATTTGTAGAAACTATTAACAGCAAAAATGATCAGCTATACAAAATCAACAAAATGATGTATAACGAAGCAGTTGAATGACTTGTTGTATTAGTAATTACCCTTTAATGAACATTTTGACTAATTTTTGTCTGCCTTGATGGAGTCAAAAAGACATCTAGAGGTATGCTGTTTCCGGCGGCAGTGGCGGCGGCGGCGTCAACAATGTATTAGTTTGTTATTAGTATAAAAATAAGGAGATGTGGTATGATTGCCAATGAGACAACTATCCACCAAAGTTCAAATGAAGTGAATGTAAGTAATTATAGGCAACCCTAGGTCAGTTTTGTGGGGAACCATTAGTGGTAGGTAAATGATACTTGGTCTGCAGTTGTATAAGCACTGGCACATCTCATTTCCATGGTGATTATTTGGCCCTGCCCCCTCAGTCATGGTCTATTGACTTTGAAACTTTTGCTTTGTTTACATGTATTAGTCTGTGATTAGGTCAGTTTAGGGGAACCACTCTTGGTAGGTCAATGATATTTGTTATGCATATGTATTAGCATTGGCACATCTCATTTCGATGGCGATTTTTTGGCATTGTACCTTCTGTCATGGTTCATTGACTTTGAATATATTGCATAACTTGTTAAAGTATTGCTATTTCAAATTTAACATTTGCATTTTACTATCAAAATAACAAAAAGGCGAGACATATCTCTGTGATAACAGTTTATTTAGTTTTTGCCGTTTATCTTGAAAACAATATTTGAAAACAGCATAAATGATCAGCAATACAAGATCTACAAAATGTCAATATTACCAAATTCTTTGGATGATTCTTTTTATGACTCGTTTCTCTTTAAATGATGATTTTTGTTTTAATAAATATTTAGAATTTTTGCCTATTTGGAATTTTTGACAGATGAGCAATACAGGCTCTCAGTAGCCTCTTGTTTTACATGCATTTATTTTTGTACATATATGTTTAAAAACCCAGCAAATATGAGCTAAAGAGATGTTGGATCTACATCAATATGACAGTGTCCCATCAACACAGTTAAACCAGAAAAAAATGCTTTTAGTACACTTATACACCCTTCAACAATAAACAAATGGCAAGTTTTAAATTACCCAATGTGTAGAATAGTTTTGAACAATTTAACCCAAGTAAAAAAATTGAGCTTCCATTCCTATCCTCTAACACATTTAAATGGAAAAGTCCTAAATTTTAAATATTTGTGAATTATTTTATTTCAAGACATCACCCATAAATATGAGGATAAAATATTTGTTTCATTTATTTCAGGAGAGAGTTGTAGCTGCAATCTTTTAAACAATAATGATTATACTACAATGATACTATCATCATTTGGTGAACTGATCCGTAAGTTTTTTTTTTAAATTGAATATTTTACCCCAAATCCCAGAATTTATAGATTTAATTTATAATTAAATTTTGTTGATTTTACTCTGTAGCTGTGTTCTAATATGTACAGACGTAGCATGATCAACATCAAACAATATCCCCTCAAACCATCTTGAACTTGCAGTGATGTGAGAGTTTTTGCTTCATGTTGAAGGTCTTACTGTATCATTGTGACTTTCTGATGATGAACAGCTATAACAGCACTGTTCCTTTGCTGTTTGTTTTTATACGCCCGTCAAAGAAGAGGAGTATTATGATATACCAATGTCCGTCTGTCCTTTTTGAACCCAATTCTCATATAACTTAACACAACATTAGTATTGATGGAAGAAAGCTCCCTTTCAATTTTTTAAAATTTACATTAAGGCAATTTTTCACAAATTGTGCACTTACTTCAGTATTCCTGGATTGATATTTACATTATTGTCTGGATTGATAAAAGGAAGCTCCCTCTTGATTTTTAAATTTTCTAATTTGACACTTTAGAGTTCTGGGACTTTGATTGTTAGATTTTAATAAATTTTTCACATATTGTACTATAACTTGAGTTTGCTTGGATTGATTTAGTGGAAACTTTACATAGTTGTTGGAATTAGTGAACATCTCATACTGTTCAATTATAAAAAAACTTTATCCTCAGGCATAGTTTTTTACAGGGCTGTTTTATTTCCTTAAGATTAAATGTCTTTGAAATATGCTATTTTATTCTTGCAAAAACTGCAATATGTATGATAAGAGCGTATCATGCACTCTTGATGCAGTTGTTTATTCTTGTTAAGGTAGTGATTTTATCATGTTTATGTCATGTATGTATTGAATGTATATAATAAATCCTTTTGTTTCCCTTTGAATCTTTAATATCCTGAGACTTTAACATAACACATTTAATGAGAAAATGTTTTGGGTTTTTTATTTGTTTTGGTTTTTTATGAAATAATTATAAAGTATGTATTTTTTATATTTCAGCATTACCTATAAATATGTTTTTAATAGACAGAGTGGGAAGAAAAAAAATGGGTGCTTTTAATATGGGAGGTTGTGCATTTTTCTTCATGTTGTTACAAATACCAATGCCACAGAAAGCTTTAACTGCTGTAATGTTTTGTGTAAGAGGATTTTCATCTGGGATGTTTAACTTTGTTTACATTTACTCAGCTGAGGTAAGATACATTTTTTAAATGACTTTTTATACCCTCTCTCTCTCTCTATGTGCCCTTCCATCTGTCCGTCCCATTACATTTACTTTTTTTTCTTTTCTACGGACTGACAACAATATTTTCTTTCCAAATCATTTTCTGCTAAGAGTGCATATGTGTACATATACATATTGTGCAATGTGCGTAAAATACACAAATACATTCTTATCTGACTATGCCGTATGTGTTTTGCTCATTGTTGAAGGCTATACTGTGACCTGTAGTTGTAAACTTCCATGTCATTTGGTCTCTGGTGGAGAGTTGTGTCATTGGCAATCATACCACATCTTCTTACCTTATTTATATTATAACGCTTGACTGTTGTAGATCTTTAAAATGAATATCTAATTATACTTGGCTTGGAATAAGGAATTCTATTTTATGTCTGTCCATTTATCTGTCATCACTCATCAACTACCTGTCTACCGAATACTTATAGCAAGGGTATCATTTGACAGCTCACAGTTCAATTTGTTTATTATTATTTAATTAATAAAAAAAGTAATCTTTAAAACACATTCAAGATAGCATATTCCATTGTGTACAACCTCTTATGAAAATAAGCAGATGTGTTACGGTTGCCAATGAGACAACTATTAACCATGGACTCTTTCTGAACTACAAGAAAACCATGCTGATACAGGTTACATCGTCAGATATAATAATGATGTACTTTATGTTTTTTTTCTTCCCTGAGGCTGATATGAGATCAAACAGAAAAATTCATAAGCTATTGAACGTGCTGTTTTTATTTATTTGTTTATGTTTATCTATTTATATTTAATAAGGTCACATGCCAACAACTATACAAATGGTGAAAGTAGGGTATAAATTAGTGAGCTCTGCTCAAAGTTTAAACACTTTCAAATTCTTAATGTATAAATAGTCTATCATTCTCCTGTAGTGTTTACAGGTTAAGCCTCAATACTAAAACAGTCTTTCTTTTATGATTTTAGGTTTATCCAACTAATATAAGAACCCTTGGAATAGGTGCTGCATCGTCATGGGCTAGAGTAGGTGCTATGGTCACTCCTTTTGTTGCTCAGGTAAGTCTTAAGATTGGGCCCTCCCTAGCCTTAGATACTGCTAGATATTATTGTCATGTCTAAACTTTTGATGATGGGATGAATCTGGATAAGATCATTATTGATATGCAACATGGGTGCTTTTCCAAGACAAAGGGAGATAAACACAATAAAAGAATAATCAGGTCTTTATGATTGATTTGATTTTTGGTGTTTTAAAGCCACTTTTAAGCACCGCTTTTGGGCTATTTCGTGGCGGCCAGTTTTTATTGATGGAGGCAGCCGGAGTGCCCAGAGAAAACCACCGACCTTCGATAGGAAAACTGACAATCCTAGTCAATTAAGATTGGATTCGAGTGCACCCGCACGAGCGGGGTTCGAACTCACAACCTCAGTGTTGACTGGCTAGTGATTACAGTAGTAACTACTTAGACCACTCGGCCACCGAGGCCCCTCAATTCAAGTATAGTGCATGAAAATACAATCTTATATGAATTAGTTAAATAAAACTATAGGTCTTTATGAAGTTTTTCATTGAATTAATGCCTTTATTTGGTTACTGGTTCCCTGCAGTTTATCTTGTTTATACCATGTCTATGATATGTTGGCCCCTGTTAAAACGTTTAAACCTGCTGCATTTTTATGCACCTGTCCTAAGTCAGGAGCCTGTTGTTCAGTGGTTGTTGTTTGTTTGTGTGGTCCATATGTGTTTCTCGTTTCACGTTTTTGTCGAGCCTTCGACTTTAGTCGAAAAAGCGAGACATAGCGATCCTACATTCCGTCGGCGTAGGCCTCGTCGTCGTCGTCGTCGTTGTCGTCCGTGGCGTCCACAAATATTCACTCTGTGGTTAAAGTTTTTGAAATTTTAATAACTTTCTTAAACTATCCTGGATTTCTACCAAACTTGGACAGAAGCTTGTTTATGATCATAAGATAGTATCCAGAAGTAAATTTTGTAAAAATAAAATTCCATTTTTTCCGTATTTTACTTATAAATGGACTTAGTTTTTCTGCCGGTAAATATTACATTCACTCTGTGGTTAAAGTTTTAAAAATTTTAATAACTTTCTTAAAATATCCTGGGTTTGTACCAAACTTGGACAGAAGCTTGTTTATGATCATAAGATAGTATCTAGAAGTAAATTTTGTAAAAAAATAAATCCATTTTTTCCTTATTTTTCTTTTAAATGGACTTAGATTTTCTGCCAGGAAACAACACATTCACTTTGTGGTTAAAGTTTTTAAAATTTTAATAACTTTCTTATACTATTTTGGATTTGTACCAAACTTGGACAGAAGCTTGTTTATGATCAAAAGCTAGTATCTAGAAGGAAATTTTGTAAAAAAATAAATCCATTTTTTCCGTATTTTACTTTTAAATGGACTTAGATTTTCTGCCAGGAAACAACATATTCACTCTGTGGTTAAAGTTTTTAAAATTTTAATAACTTTCTTATACTATTTTGGATTTGTACCAAACTTGGACAGAAGCTTGTTTATGATCAAATGCTAGTATCTAGAAGGACATTTTGTTTTCTTCCAGTTAACATTACATTCAGTCTGCAGTTAAAGTTTTTAAACATTTATTAGATTCATAAACTATCCTGGAATTTGACCAAACTTGGACAGAAGCTTCTTACAATCAAAAGATAGTATCAAGATGAATATTTTTATTGATTTACTTCCTCATTTTTGTTGAGCCTGCGATTAACAGAAAAAGTAGGCGAGACACTGGGTTCCGTGGAACCCTTACAAATTTTTTTATATAGATTAGACTGTTGGTTTTCCTGTTTGAATTGTTTTACACTAGTCATTTTGGGGCCCTTTATAGTTTGCTGTTTGGTGTAAACCAAGGCTCCGTCTTGAAGGCCGTACTTTGACCTATAATTGTCAACTTTTTATACGTTGTGACTTGGATGGAGAGTTGTCTCATTGGCACTCATACCACATCTTCTTATTTATATTAAGGTGCTCAAAAAGGGCAGAACTAAAATTTCAGAAATTTGATATTAAGTTTGATTAAGAATTTCTTTTTAATTCTTACAAAAATTCCTTGCCTGTGCTTTTCTATTGTTCTACTGCATTTGGAGCTGAAACAAACAGATTCCAAAATAGTACATTTACATCTTTCATTTAAGTTGGAATTAAAGCAGTTTTTTTTGCTCTGTGTATTACTGTTACCTAGAAAAATGGAGCTGTTATTTATAGAATATCTTATCAAAGAATTCAAATATTGCTTATTAACACCAAACTCAGATCAAATTGGAATTTGGGTGGCATCACTTTCACTGTTCTTGAGTTATGTCCCTTTATAAATGGAAAAATTGCATTTACATGAACAATCATTGATTTTTTCTGTATTGTAATAAGCAACATGAAGGATGCCACTGTTGGAGTAGGGACTGCTTATTCTTCAGAAGCATCTGAGTTCAGCTCAAACATTTTATATTTTTATCAGTGTTCCAGCTTGAATCCCAGGTCAGAAGGGTGCTAGTTGACTGAAGGGCACTTTAGGGTAATTATTCAGATTTAAGGGCACTTGTGCAAAGTAAAATGAAAGCCAAAAATACCAATTCTGATAAATCCCTTCCTATAGAAATGTACCTATAAAATTAGGCAATATAAAGCATTTCAACAAATTACACATTAGTGGGCTGTAGCAAATCCACTGAAAACAAATCTCAATATTTCTAAGATAAACTAAAATTATTTTCATTTACCTGTGTATAATATGACGCAGGTTTCTTCAAAAGTGATGATTTTCTAAAAATTGTTTGATATTTCACAGTGATATCATACTTTAACTTTGGTTAAACCTGTTTATTTACGTTTGACTTTAATTATTTATCCCTTGTAATTTTTTATTAACTGTGTACTTGCATTCAGGTGTCACAGGTCAAATTTATTCGTTCATTGTGTGTTAATTTACGTTTTTTGATTGAGTTAAGCCTTCCAATTGATATTTTATAGTGTGTTTTTCTATGTTGTGATGTTATACTATTGTTTCAGAAAAGGGAGAAGGTTTGGTACCATCAAAACGTTTAATCCCGCTGCAAATGTTTGCACCTGTCCTAAGTCAGGAATCTGATTACAGTAGTTGTCGTCTGTTTATGTAGTTCATACGTGTTTCTCGTTTCTCGTTTTTATATAGATTAGACAGTTGGTTTTTCCGTTTGAATGGTTTTACACTAGTAATTTTTTGGGGCCTTTTATAGCTTGCTGTTCAGTGTGAGCCAATGCTCCGTGTTGAAGGCCGTACCTTGACCTATAATGGTTTACTTTTATAAATTGTAACTTGGATGGAGAGTTGTCTCATTGGCACTCATACCACATCTTCCTATATCTATTGAGGCCATATTTTGAGCATATTTTTGGTGTTATTTCTATGTTTTATTACTTTATTATAAAATGAAGCAAGACACATAATAATGATGGTGGAGAAAAAAAAACTTTCAGAATTTTCAATGAATTGGTACTGATATACCAGTCATGGGGCATTATGTTTTCTTAAAAATTCATTTGTGCATATGTCCTTCCATCTCATATCATATTAAAGTTTTGGTTTTAGAAGGTTAAAGCATTGGTATAAGAAAATGAAACAATTCTTTGTAAATTGTGTATTAGGAAGGATTTTCTGAATTTGCTTTCATCAGGAATGCTCACAGCAAAAAAAAAAAAAGGAGTCCAAGATGTATAACTACTTAGATGGGTGAGGAGCTATATGACCAAAAGGGAGGTAAAAGGAATAGCCAAATTAACCTAAGGTCAACTTTGCCTCAGGGAATTGGAACCTTAATTTCAAATAAGTTTAAAATTTATCAACTGAGAATTTCAACAAAATTGTGTTACAAATCATGTCAGTACTAAAGCACTCACAGGTAGTAAATAATGTTAGGTCTCTTTTGTTTATCATTTTAACTGGGTTTTCAGACAATTAAAATGTGTTTATTAATTTTGGGTAGTAAGAAAGACAGCCTGGCAGGCGACTCAAGCAGTATCCATCAAAAAACTTGAGAATTGTTCAGCCAATGCCATTGCTCCAATCCATTTCAAGTTTTAATATATTGACTCTTGTAAAAAAGTCAGTAACAATTGTTTTATGTGAACTCCAAGGAAAATTCTAAACGGAAAGTTCCTTATCAAATGGCAAAATCAAAAGCATAAACACATCAATGAATGGAAAAAAACTGTCATATTGCTGACTTGGTAGTTGTGATATTTGTTAAACTCTTGTAGTCAAGACATTTCTGTGTCTCCACACTTTATTGTTTTCTTTACAGGTATTGTTAGATCAGTCGTTAACAGCTGCTGTGTGGGTGAATGGTTTGTTAAACTCTTGTAGTCAAGACATTTCTGTGTCTCCACACTTTATTGTTTTCTTTACAGGTATTGTTAGATCAGTCGTTAACAGCTGCTGTGTGGGTGTATAGTAGTGTATGTTCTGTTGCTGCTATTTGTGCCATATGTTTGCCAATAGAAACCATGGGAAGAGCATTACCAGTAAGTTTAAGATAATGAGGGTCTTCAAGGAAAGGGAGACATATTCTTTGTCCTATCCAGTCCACAAATGTTTGAAAAATGGGATGTGTTTTCAATTATTGCAAAATTTAGGACAGCAAAGCTTTAGCAAAAAAAATATTACGCATTTTAAACTTAAGCTTGCATTATTTTTTTTGGGAATTTCCTGGAATAGTTTTAACTGATCTTGCATTTTTGTCCACTGTTCAACAACCACAATTTTATAAATACATGAAGATATTTCTGAATTAACAGTATATAAAACGCTAGACAATGGCATTGTATTCAGGCCATCAGTTTATAATTTGACAAAAAGGCTTTTGATGTTATTAACTGTGCATACCATTGGCCAATAGTTTTATGCCCCGCCACGGTTGAGGGAGTATTAAGTGTTACCCTTGTCCATACGTACCTACTTATGTCCCAAAACTAGTTTCCTTTCCCTTACTTTAGTTAGCCTCAACCAAATGTTATGGAACTTATACACAATGCTTATTACCCCAAAACACAGATCAAGTTCAAATTTGGGTGGCTTCACCTTTACCATATCGCATTCTACAGCTATGCCCCTTTATAAATGGAAAAATTACTGAATTTTTCATTTCCGTTCTCTAACTTTAGTTTGCCTTAACCAAATGCTATGAAACTTATACACAATGTTTAACTTAATTATTACAATAAAACACAGATCAAGTTCAAATCTGGGTGGCATCACTTTCACAGTTCTCTAGTTATGTCCCTTTATAATGTTAAAGGCAAGCAGGGGCATCATCTGTGTCCCATGGACATATTCTTCATTTATCTTAAATGATATGTTAATAAGAAAAGTTTTCATAATATTTACAATTTCTAATCATGAAACAAGAAATGAAAAAAAATTATATTTGTGAGAAGATGCCAAAAGTTTAATACAGAGCATTTTATTATTCCAGCACACAACATGAAGAAAAGAAAAAGTCTTTAATCAAGCAGAAAATCAAAAAACATTGGTAGAAGAGGAAATATTCTTAATTCAATGATTGTGTTCAGATTTCGACATTTCATGTGATTGATTTGCAGAGCATTCCAATTGTTATTTATCATTAGGTAATCACCTGTAATTATGATTGAATTATTTATTATATTGCAATACTGTAGGGATTTAAAAAGAGCTGTGTAGGATAGAAATCGACCTTATGCAAAAGCACATATACATGTACATGTTTTCTGCTCTTTGGTCAGGTTGTTGTCTCTTTGACATATTCCCCATTTCCATTCTCAATTTAACATGTACTGTCAATTCAGAAATTATTGCAAATAATGGGACTTTGTGAGTATGGCAATAACAAAAAGTCGCTTTCTGATACCTGACACATATTAGAATGGAGATTTTCCTGAAATCGCAATAATTAATCTCACATTTTTGTCCTTTCTTCAAAAATTGCAATAATAAATGCATGCAATAATTTCTGAACACAGTACAAGACTTTGATTGATTTTGAAACATTCAAATATGAAATAAAAGATGAATTTTGTCTGTTTTGTAGCATTCTTATATCAACTCAATGTTCAAACAGTTACAGACTTAGAGATTTTTCAAACCCAAGTAGGTTAATAGATGTATTGATATTCATTTGCATAAAGTTGATTTCTATCCGATGCAACTCAAATTGAATTTACAGCAGAATGCATCGAGTGTGTAGGTAAAGGTAATATCTTTGGTTAGCTTGCAAGCTTGTTAGCTGAACCGTGAAGTCATTATTAGGTTAGGTAAACTACCCTCCTTTAAGAATAGACTAGTCCGACAGATAACCAATCTATCTGTCTGTAGGACTTGACTACTCCGAAAGGAGGGTAGTGTACCTAACTTAATAATGGCTTCATGGTTCAGCTAACAAGCAAGCTAACCAAAGATTCTACCTTTACCTACACACTCAATGCATTCTGCTGTAATTTGTCATTATTTTTTTCTGCATAATTATATTTTAATCTACGTGTTCAAGTTCTTATTGAAATTTTTAGTAATCTTTTAAGTTTCCATGATAAGATTATATGCCTGAGTTTTTATTTACATGACAAATATCATGTATATATTTAAATCAAATTTCTTAATAGGTCTGAATTTCTTATTTTGGTAGAAAATTTACACACCAGGGTGAAAATAAGTCTTAGATAAAATTTAGCTAGTTTGCAGATACATAATTTATGAGGGTCTGGATGGGCTTTACAGAATAATGGGCAAAAATTGCAGAATATAGGACAAAAAATACACAGAATAGAGAAAAATAGGCATAAGAAATAGAGATGGGCTGTAGAAATATAAAGAATAAAGAATAAGGGTCAAAATAAATAACAAATAGAGAACAATGGTCTAAAAATTTAGATAAAAGAAATGAAGGACCCCCACCCCACCCCCATCCAGACCCTTATTTATAAAGAGTGAGATATATTAGTGCAAAATTTCATTTTTTATATGTGATACGAGTGTTAAGAATCATATGCAGATTCATTTCTTTCCTTAAAATAAAAGCAGAATTACCCAATCAAAATTGTAAAAGTTTTGTCAATGTAAAATGGGCAATAAAAAAGGCATTGCATTAAAATGTAGATTTGACTGTATTCAGTCATTGAAGGAATATTTTAATTAATTTGAAAATTGCTTTATGAATTTTTCAAAAAAGTCCACAACTAAAGAGGGGGGGTGACATATTTTTTGGGTGCGGGATAGAGGGGTAGAAAAAGAGAGGATATATGATATAGGGGTAAAAAAGTGGGAATGTCAGATATATAAGGGGTAAAAAAAAGTGGAATCTGAAAAAAAAAGTGGGAAGTGGGATTAATAACAAAAAAAAAAAGGGATTTGGGAAATGAGCACCCCTGTGTCTCCCCCTCAGTGTATTTTATATTAATGGACTTGTCAAAGCTTAAAGTTAGTGATATTAGAATTAAGGCATTGTTTTTTTTTTTCTTTGTATTTTATAGCATAGAAATATGGTTTTACATATTTTGCTTATTTACCTGTGCACAAGGTTTTAAGTTCAGGAAAGTTTGAGGTATAGGCTTTACTAAGGGCTTTTCCCTAATTTATCAGGTGGGGGGATGGGAGGCACTCAAATTAACGAAATATTGGTGGTCTCATTTTCCTGAAATTTTATAAGAACAGCACTTATTGTATTGCCGCTCCTTTGAGATAAGTTCGTGTAAAAGGTAAAAAATAGTGTGAAATTGGAAAAGTATAAAAGGATCTGTAGAGATTTCATTTGAAAATGTCTAATGTCAGAAATAGCAGTTTGTGGATATTGTTTTTTATGCCCCACATACGATAGTAGTAGGGGCATTATGTTTTCTGGTCTGTACGTCCATTCGTCTGTCTGTCCGTTCGTTCGTCCATCCGTCTGTCTGTCCTGCTTCAGGTTTAAGTTTTTGGTCAAGGTAGTTTTTGCTGAAGTTGAAGTCCAATCAACTTGAAACTTAGTACACATGTTCCCTATGATATGATCTTTCTAATTTTAATGCCAAATAAGAGTTTTGACCCCAATTTCATAGTCCACTGAACATAGAAAATGATAGTGCAAGTGGGGCATCCATGTACTATGGACGCATTCTTGTTTCTGACATGGGATTTCTATGCAAAAATATTTGTTTTTATTTTTCGAATTTCTTAGCTTTAAATTTAGCCACTGTTAAGGATGTTTGCTACTCTTGTTTTTGATATTTTGTCAGGTTATTCGGAATCCTCTAGTTTTATCCATGTAGTTTCTATATAAATTTTGGCTGCTAACCCCAACATTTCTAATTTTATAACATATAGTTTTAAAAAGTCATTTTTGAAAATCTTATAAACTCCTTGTTACTTCTTCATAGTTTTTGAAAGAAAAAAGGTGCCAATGTTAAATTTATGAAAAATCCAAAGAGAATTAGTTCCTGTCAGATTTTCAAAGGCTTACAGGTATATCTCAAAAACAAGGACACGGACCTTTCATTTTTTTCTGCTTTTTTAGTTCTGTTATATTGTTTACTATCAATTTATAAATTTCTTTTAAAAAGCTTGTTATTTTGAAACAGAGTAGCAAACATCCTTAATGGCTTTTGTAATGCATCATTTACACCAGGAGAAATATTTTTTTGTCAATAACACAATTGTAAAGATTTTTTCATTGTGTTTGGTTTTCTTTGGTCAATATTATCATCCATATACAGTTTTCATTGTATAACATATACGTTACTACCAGTCCAATTGAATCCTATTTTATAAAGTTGAAATAGTGGCATCCTTGATAACATATGGTGCCATGATTGCGTTTTTATGCTTTCCAAAAAAGGTAAGGGAGCATTCAGTAATTTAGTCATTCAGTCCATTTATTTGTCTCTCCAAGCTGATATTTTGAAGTCTTCAAATAAAATGTTTTCTCTTAATACCTGTGCTGTTTGTGGAACATCAGTGGGCAGTGTCAGCGTTTTACTAGATCTGTTTTTATCATAGTTCTTTTTTTCAAGCATGTACACCAATGTCTTGCACAAAGATAGTTTTAGTTTTTCAAGTATTTTATATTTTATCATTTTTACACATGCTTTTAATGTTTTAATAGAGTGCCTTTCAGAAATTACATGATATAGGTTGCAAATTGATTTTATGATAAAATTTATGATTTGAAATTATTTTATTATTTGAATGTTATTATTGAATTTATAGATTCATGTTAATATTTTTATACATGTAGCTGTCTGAGTACTGTTTGATCTCCTACTGTAATGGTTGATATATTTTAGAGACTATTCAGAAAATGCTGCAATAGATTGATTCATTCATCAGATTATTTAACCCTTGACCCTCAAAATGTATTTATAAATGCCTTGGTAGTGTTTTGGCAGTTTGCTAATCTCGAATTCGAGAGATCATTGATAAGATCCCAGGACGGGTCAAACCAAAGACTTGAAAATTAGTTTTTGCTGCTTCTTCACTTAGAAAGCAACATTAAGAAGTAAAACCAAAGGTTGATAGGGTTACATGTCTGCCTACAGCTTGTAACATTAACTGTGAACTAGCAAATTAATAATTCAGCTCAGTTTGTCAGTGTAGTAAAGACCAAGGTTCATTTTCATACCTCATAAACATGTTCTCGTCTTGATGTACATGCAATATTTGCCACCGGAAGCTGAACACTTATTCTTTATCATCATCAAAATGTGTAGGGTAACAATATCCATTTTGTGCACTTGTCCAGATTACATAAAATTTCGAAAATATAACATGTTAGTTCCATTGACAATGTTGGCTTTTCAGACAAAGTTATGATAAAGCGTGTCTATTGATTTACATCCCTTTAACAAGTGCTGTAGTTACAGATTCTTCTTATTTTATTATAAACTAAGGACTATATTCAAACATTCTGTAAACCAACACATTTTATTGAGGCTATTCCAGAATTATTTGTATACAGGGTTAGAAGGCACCCAATAATTATAGTATAGAGGTAGTTAGGTTCCAAACAAGTTTTCATACAGTAACCATTTAAATTTCTAATTATATTTGTATGGTTGTGGGTCTTGTAAGGAAAAGTGCTTTCAACCACCCTTCTTGTACATTTGATTTTAGAAAAGTCTTAAGCAATTTATTAGGGATCATAGATTTATTCTTACAAGGAAGCTCCGAGCATGCTCGGAGGATGCTCGGAGCTTTTAAGTAGGCTCTTCTCAGCAGTTAATGTGACAATAATTATCATGATCCATTAAGATGTCAATCAAATCTACACCACTTCTATGATAAGGAAAGTAGAGCATTATAGAGGAAGCTCCATAAACACCTGTGTAAACATCTGGTCTATTCAAATACATTTTGCATGAAATTTTACAAAACTATAAAATAGATTAGAAATTCTTCAACAGTACTGTGTAATGCTTGGAAAGAAATCTCAAGTCTCCACAAAAAGACATTTAAATATTTTCTTATTATATTTAATAATCATTCCTTTTTTATAATTAAAAAATTCTCAAATTTTATAATTAGATGATATGATTTGAATATAGTTTATATTATATAATATGCTACATAAAAGTTATCAAGACACAAACAACAGTCAGGTGGCGATACTAAACAAGTAATTTTTTTTAGTCACTTTTATAAGTACTTTTTGTTTTTAAAAATTATTTAATAACTCAATAGTTATTTTAAATGTCAAATAAAGCATGGACTAAATGTAGTAGTTAAGAATTTTTATATCATTTCATTAAATAAAATTAAGTATTTATCCAATTTTAGATGAGTATAGAGAGGTTACTTTGAAAAATAATGACAAAAATATTACTTTAATAAATTATTTTATACAACTTCAAAAAACTTAGTACTTACAATTATTTAAGGAATATATGTAATTGCTTTTGATTAAGATTCAAATTATAAATAACTTCAAGTCTTAATTAAAGGTTCCATATCTAGTTATAACTGTCTATCTCTAAGATTTTAAGGGGAAATGATATTTTAATAGCCCCAAGAGGCCAATCTTTGACCAAGAAGTGTGGCATCAGAAAAGCAATTAGTGCTTGTTGAGGATTTAACTAGTTTTACCAGTATATTTCATGGGGAAAATAACCAGATGTCTGTGAAAATTTGTTAAAGCTAGTAAAACCTGTATGAATGGACACCTATAAAAATAATATTAACAGAAGTTGCTTATTCATGATATAGAAGAAATATTTGAAACAGCCTCGTTTTCAACATAACTTGTATAGGTAATTTTGAAAATTACTTGTTTAAGTGATGCCCCTAACTAAACAATGGTAATATGTTTTTTTTTAAATGGCAAACTAAGTTCTTTTATAGAAAATTGTGGCAACTTTAAGAAAAGTTT